TCTCGAGACTCTTCTCTCCCTCTCTACATTTATTTACCAGCTTGGTTATGGAGACCAATACCGCTGGCTACATGCAGGCAGAGCCTAGATCTAACCAGTTAGCTTTACCGTGGAAAACACGTCGGATACATCAGTAAAGAACATGTAAGGCATCACAGCCTTCATTTAGGCATGTGGTCTTCTCATCTAAAAGGCACAGGCCGGGAGGACGAAAAGAAGAAGAGAAGAAGAAGCAGAAAGCTCATGAGAGGAGAAGTGAAAGAGGCGAACGAATAAATACTGGTATGAACATTCGATTCTGTCTATGAATATGTCCCCCACCCCCCCCCCCCCCCTTCCCCCCCCTCCCCGCTTTCCCCCTTCTCCTCTTACTTTCTCCTTCTTTGACATACTTTATGTTAAGTGTCTGAGTCTGAAGGAACGCATCATACGTTAATAGGTTCCTACTTAGAAGCCCAATTACCACCGATAGCGCCAATGTTATGTCTTTTTTTTTACTTTCCCTTTGGCCTGTGATGTTAAATCCACTGGGACTCAAACTGGTAAGTGTATTCATTTCTTGATTATAGTTTGACTGCAGTCGCTTCTTTTTTGAGTACTTCTGTTCAGCTATATTACTCAATTCTTAAGCTTGAAAAAGAATTTTAACAGGGTCAATCCCTTTAAAAAAAAAAAAAATAATTGACGATTCACATAGTTATTCCTATTCAAACTATTCCACATTGCTATATTGCCACACGCACAACTTAAATAAATTGCCACAGAAAGCAAATGCAAACAGAAAAAGTAGCATGCCAATACAAAACTGTCGCTGCTTGTAGCTAACATTTCCGGTTGTTTGTGTTGCTCGCCACTTTAGCGTCTTAAAGTGGCTTTACACACTGTCTTGATGATGTTTGACAATTTCTGAAGTCTGTGGGAATGAAGGAAGGCATTATCATAACTATCATGCACCATGCTGAGCTGCGCAGACCCAAAGAAAACTAAAAGTATAAGACCCGTGTTATGTCGTACATCGGATACTAGTTTCATTTTTGTATAGAGCTATCTGCACTTAGTGTTTTATTTTTAAAAGGTTTGCTTATCCTACAGGACGTTGCAGAACCATCCACTGCAGCCGCTAGGCAGTTTCTCTAGGCAAATTTACGTTCAGTAGTTTGCCAGTGCTTACTGAACGGTCGGCCCCCTAATACCACCGTAGAAACCAACGCATGGCGCATGGCCCGCAGCTGGGATCGAACCCGGCACCCTGGCATTACGAAGCGTTCACATCGACTTAGCCACAGAGCCGACCGTACATCCCATAGTAGTCTCATATTTGTATAGAGCTATCTGCACTTAGTGTTTTATATAGCAGCAATTGCTACTTCCGTATGCTATTATCTAATGCAACAACTTTCTTTTTTAAAATAGTTGTTCTGCACTTTTTAGTTTTTGTTGCATTTTGTTTTCGCGCTCATGTCAAAAACAATCTACCTCATTTATTCATTGTCAGATCTCAAATTTTATTTTCAATTCCGCTTTACTATAACACATTCTCTTTAAGCAAAGATGCACACAAGATGGAAAGCTGACAGGAATATACCCACACACACACACACACACAAAAATAGGTGATGTGAAAGTTGTGAAGGTAGGAAAAAAACAAACTTACAGAGTTGTGAGTAATCTTACACTTTACCTGTGGAAGTATTTTTTAAGCAGGGTTAACTGTGAAGTTGGCTTTTCTGTTTTGGCGCGTTTTTTGCTCTTCATGGGGCACCTGACACTGAAGGATTTCGTTGCAGGAAGGTAACGCGCAAATAAATAAACGGAAACCGTATCCAAATCAATTCCTAGATGAAAGTGCTCCTAAAAATAGGCTAAAAACGTAATTGTGTGCCTTGTAGAAGCTTACCTAACTGTTTATGTTGGGAAATTAAGTCACAATCTTTTTAACCCAAGTTCTATATTTCAGATTCTTGTCTATTTTATTAATCTGTTGAATAATAAAGAACGGGGGGATAAAGAGCGTTTTTGACGTCATTAGCGCATCCCGCATTCTGATAAACCCAGAATTGTATAGGCACTCAAACGTTGCAAAGTCACCGAAACCTAGGTGCTCAGCCTTGCGTTTCCTTTTCCACATAATATATGTAATTGGGCTAGGTGACCCCTTCATTATATGTATGGAAATTCTCTTTAAACGTCGTGTGTGTGTGTATTTCTTATTATTGCAAGCATATTATTATATTTATTCTCCATCGAACCCCTTATTTTTATTTGTATTGCTATTATTATTATTATTGCGATTATTATTATTAATATTACTATTATTATGTTCGTGAGTGGGTACCGGTTGAAGTCCCGGGAAGTAGAGGTAGCCGGCGTGATGCTGACCATATCACCCACCGTCTGCCGATCGGTCTATAAAATATAGGTCTAGCCCTATATGCCCTATGCTCCTAAAGGCGTGGAAAAGGGTCCTTTACTTTACTTTACTTTTTATTATTATGTTACCTTGAAATTGTATAATTTTTAATGTATGGATGCACATCTGGCTCGACGCCCCATGCATTCAACACCATGGTTGCTGTATATTATTACCAGTTTGTTCTGTCCTGTTTTATATGACGAAATTTCAAAATAGGACGTTTATTACCAAACCTCTCAGTGGCCGGCTGTGAAGAACGAGTCGTATCAAGTCGTCGAAACTACACGTCGAGAGTCGCTGGACACATCCCAGATTGAGTAGCAAGTTACGCGATTTAAGTCTGACTCGAGTGCACATCGCACGACCCAAGTTCCGACTTCATTAGTTTAGGTTAGTTGCGTATCCTTTACAAGACGTTGCAGAACCAACCCCAACAGTCACTGACTGTTGTGTGGTTTTTCTAGGCAAATTTACGTCCAGTAGTTTGCCATTGCTTTCTAGACGGTCGGTTTTTTTGATAACACTGTCGAAACCAACGCAAGGGGCATGACCCGCAGCTGGGATTAAACCCGGCATCCCGGCATTACAAAGCGTTCGCATCGACTTAGCCACAGTGCCAACTCCGACTTCATGACTACACTCATATTTATATAGTCCAGTGGATGATTCGGCCAGCATTGTCTTTTTTAACATTTCAATCGCACATCATTATCTGGCACCACTTTAATGCTGCATCCACCTGCCAGGACAAGAGAAAAAAAATCTGCCTCGATGTAGATTCCATCCCAAGACCTTCTAGTCTCAAACCAGCGTCTATACGCTGCGCCACCGCACGCTGAAGACATGTGAAGTAGATATTTTTTTAAATCCCCGGGGTGTCCGACATTCACCAGAATTATGTTTCTGGCTGTTTGTCAACAGCGCTCGTAAACACTGGCGTAAGTTCGAAAACACTGTTGGATAACAGACCGACGTTAATATGCCTGCCTGGCATGTGTGCGTTGTCTGCTTTGGCGTGAAAGAGCAGTGGCAAAGAGGCCGTCAATCTTGCTAAACTTTGAATGGCAGTTTGCGGTGAGAGGTAATCGGATGCAGATACTGGGTGTCATGCTGTCAGTCTTTGAGTGAAGAGTGTTTGGGTGTTGAGCTAAGAATCGTAAACTTAACACTCGAAACATTCACACAAACGTTCCGTCCTAATCTCTAGCAGCTAGAGAACATTTCACATTCCTTCTATAGTTTGATTATATATCCGTCTTGCCTTTCCTCTGAGCGTAGAGTGTCGACCAGATTACGGGTCACACCTAGCTGTGTATTGCTGCGAATGTGGATGTAGATGTTAAAATTGAAAATCGTAAAAAGTAGCCTAACGACTCTGCCCCCTTGAAAAATTTTGAGTTAAAAATATACCATAAGTATTTCAGGATCCCCGCCGGTGCTACTGAGTTCGTGCACTGCGCTGGAATTCTGAGGGCTCAGGCTTGAGTTATAAGTAGAACGTAGCACTATTAGTTACTACCCTTGTGCCATGATGTTTATCTGTTGTTCAAACCTTAAACCAAACCTCCACAATTAGAGCATGTGATATCGAAAGCGATTGTTGCCCTTGCATATATTTAACGGATCTATTCATCTTCAAACTTATCAGCGAACCTTTTGTGCTATATACCCGTCCCTTTCCTAATTGTCTCCCTGTATATAAGAGTGTCCATGACTCCCTGTTCCACGAAACCACTTTAATACTTGTACTAATCATGTGCTGCGAGCAAACCTCCTTATATGGTAGGAAGGAAATCTACCCAACTCTCTCACTACCAGTTTTCGCAGCGAATGTACTACATCTAAAATCTGCTTTCCGTTCTCTATGTCTATGGTTATCAGATGAGAAGGTCAAAGGCCACTATGAAGACTTTGGTTCGATGTATGTTTTCCACTTTTCCGTGCATTCCGGTTTCTATTGGAATACGAACTGGCCAAATCTGTGATCTGTCTGAAGGTTAGTTGAGTATCCTTTACAGGACTTTGCAGAACCAACCAAAGCAGCCCCTGGTTGTAATGTGGTTTCTTCAGGCAAATTTACTTACAGTAGTTTGCCATTGCTTTCTGGAAGGTCGGCTTTTTGATACCACTGTCGAAACCAACGCAAGGCGCATGGCCCGCAGCTAGGATCGAACCCGGCACCCCGGCATTAAGAAGCGTTGTGATCTGTCTACTGCATCTAAAATAATAAATAGGACACATCGGGAGTATAGTGATTCGAAAGAGGCTGAATACACAGTGAAAGTAGCTAACTGTGCATCAAGATTTCTGTAGTATTCTGTAATGTGTGTTATGTGCATAGAGTAAAGTGTGATGTTTCTATAACGGCAATCTGCTTCATTTCCTCCACAGTAATGTACGTTATTTCATGTAACAGTATATTGTGTTACTTCCCAAACAGTAATGAGCATTTTTACCCTTCAAGTAAATTATGCTATTTCCTGAACAGACAAGTAATATGCAATACTTCCCTAACAGAAATGTGTGCTATTTCTCTAAGAGTAATATCTTGTGTCATTAAAGGTAATGTTGGTTATTTCCCTAACAGCCGTCAAGTCAGAGACAGGACAAAGCATCGTCAACAGTTACTGGGAAATACTTCAGCCAGGGCAGTATGTTGGGGCCGGCACCAGATTCGTGTATGACAGGGAGTCTAGTTCATGCAAAGGGTCGTGTATATATTCAGATGGACCTACAACAGAGCCCGTTGTCGTACAAGTACGTATTTGTTCTGTTGTTTAGTTGAAAGAATTGTAATGCTTTTGTTTTATCTGTAGTCTCTTATCAAGAAAAAATACGAGGAGTTTTGGAGAGAACAAACCAACAGTAAACATCCACAAGACCCCATTAGCAAACTCATCAGAAAGCAATATACAACAATTCAATTTTCCGTCTACGAACAGAACACTGCAGGCTGAACTACCACATGTATAAAATAAAGAATGTACAAGTCCTACAATGTACCTGTTTGACAGGACCACAAACACATGAGCGCGTTCTGCAGACCTGCCCACTCTACATTCAACTTCGATAAGAAACCTGGCTCAAGAGCAAAGTGTGTAGAGCCAGCTATATGGTACCACGAATGACCTGCTGGTGAAATGCGAGTTCATAGACGCAACCCCCCCCTGATGGTCTGTCCTGAATATACCAAACCGAACGCAAAGAAAGTAGACTCGTTGAAAGGGAAGACGCGGCAGTCGTGTGACTGCTAAGACAGTGATATGGGATCAAATATCATGAGAGAAGAAATGTTTGGATTCCTTCCACGATATCGATCGGACTGCAGAGGATAGAATCGACCGAAGGAGTAGACTGCGAATTCTATGTGAAGGATCAGCAGTACAACATGATAATAATATTGTTGATGATGATGGTGCTGGTGATGATCATGACGTTGTTGATATATTTAAACACAACTTTTTTTTTCAGATTCTCTACTATGAGAAAAATCCAGGTATTTCCTACGAGTTTACTCTACCAAAGAATGTTCCTTTTACTGCATTTGATGGAATATCTTCCAATCAAAATGCAGTTTCGGAAACCTCTTCATTGTTGCCTACTAACAGACGTCAACAAAGTGTCGATCCTAGTCCCAGGAGACGACACAGACAACAAAGATATCACTATGACTTTATACATCCAAGTAATGCCACTGAATTTGAAGGCGAATATTACACTGGATCTCAGGTAAAAACAGTTTTGGAGAACTTTTTCCCCCTTCTTTTTCTTCTTCTTCTTCCTTCTTCTTCTTCTTCTTCTTCTTCTTCTTCTTCTTCTTCTTCTTCTTCTTCTTCTTCTTCTTCTTCTTCTTCTTCTTCTTCTTCTTCTTCTTCTTCTTTTTCTTTCTTTTTCTTTCTTCTTCTTCCTCTTCTTCTTCTTCCTCCTTATCCTTCTTCTTTGCCTATAAAAGGGCGGTTAGCACTTGAGGTGTGATTTATGGCTTTGCCAGGAGATCCTAGCTTTCGGCCACTGTCGAAACAAACGCAAGGCGCAGGACCCTCAGCTGGGATCGAACCCGGCATCCTGCCATTAGGAAGCTCATTCGCATCGCCTAAGCCACAGACGTCGACTAATAAAATGTACTTGCACCATTGCACCATGATATACCTAGTACGCTATTCTGCTGGTCCGATGGCCATAATTTCGAATCTCCATCGAGGCAGATAAAAAAATTGACCTCTTGTGTGTGTGTGTGTAACCTCTAGGCCACCCGGTATGGGCTTATATATATATATATATATATATATATATATATATATATATATATATATATATATATATATATATATATATATATATATATATATATATATATATATAATACACTGTAAACACACTGATAGTAGTAGGTGGTTTTTGAGAGGACGGGAGATAATTATGGATGGTAGCTAACTCGAAAAACACCACAAAGCTCTGAGACACGGTTAGCGACAGGTTATTTGCCCTTTACAAAGCCTGTCAATGAATTTTGTGTGGGTATTAACAAGCGGAAACAACGGTTATTCATGTGTGTATGTAAGTGCGAGCGCGCGCGTGCGCATATTGGTTTGGTGGGTGCGAGTCTATGCAAAATGACAGGCACAAATTAATTTAAATGGGGGGGGGGGGGGGGGTAAGTGGGGAGGGGGAGTGGGGGGGGGGTGGTCTTTTTAGTAACGTGTCGATTTGAAAAGGAGTACACTTTACATTTGCTCTCATTTCAACAGTTTAGTAGATCAGAAGGTCGGCCAGATGAAACATCGGCATTACAAGCGCACATTGGAATAAAACATACAGCCAGTTCACCAAAATCACAACCCGGCACATATGATTATACTGGTGCCAAATATGGCAGTCACACGTTGGGAGGAAGGGGAATGAGCTACACGCATGCTTCTGAGGAGTCAAAGCCTCAAGTGAGTACTTGTTTAGCTCTCACTTAAATACTTGTTTAGCCTCAAGTGAGTACTTGTTAAGTCTCAAGTGAGTACTTGTTAAGTCTCAAGTGAGCACTTGTTGAGTCTCAAGTGAGTACTTGTTAAGCCTCAAGTGAGTACTTGTTAACCCTCAAGTGACTACTTGTTAAGCCTCAAGTGAGTACTTGTTTAGACCCAAACGAGTACTTGTTAAGTCTCAAATGAGTCTCGCTAAATCTGAAATGAGTACTTGTTAAACCTAAAATGAGTACCGGGTAACCTCAAATGAGTACTTGTTAAACCTCAAATGAGTACTTGTTAAACCTCAAATAAGTTCTTGTTAAGCCTCAAATGAGTACCTGTTAAACCTCAAAGGAGTTCTTGTTAAACCTCAAATGAGTGCTTGTAAAACCTCAAATGAGTACGTGTTAAGCCTCAAATTAGTACTTGTTAAACCTTAAATGAGTACTTGTTGAGTCTCAAATGAGTATTTGTTAAACCTCTAAGGAGTTCTTGTTAAACCTTAAATGAGTACTTGTTAAGCCTCAGATTAGTACTTGTTAAGCCTCAAATGAGTACTTGTTAAACCTCAAATGAGTACTTGTTAAGCCTCAAAGTAGTTCTTTTTAAGTCTTAAGTGAGTACTTGTTCTCTCATCTTCTGCTGTTGTCCTACTGTTTATACCATAAGCCTCGAATAGTTAGATGTAGTTTCCTGAGTTTAGTTAAATGCGTATTGAGCTTCGGTGGTGTCTCTTTGACTCCTTTCACCCATGTCTTTCTTGGTCGGCCTCTTGACTTGTGACCTGCTGTTCTCATTTAGTACGCTCAAGCTGCTAGTTGTTTATGTTCCATTCTGACCAGATAACCAAACCATTTGATTCTTTGATGTTCTTAGAAATCATTTAGTGGACACGGGAAGTTTACCCAGTCAATAAGGGATCGATGAAGTTGGATGTGTCGGCCGAAAGGCGCAAATATCGCAGATTAGCTGTTAACAGGCAAAACACAATTAAACACTCGGAAGAACAAAAAAAAATATTTACCAGTATCTTGCCTATCATTATTCTTAATTCTTCATTGTTAACTCTGTCTATTCTTGTTACTGTTATATTTCAAATTTGGGAAATTCTCATCGAAATATCGATCCTCACCCGCGCAGGACTGCAGTTCGTATCGGGTTGGTGCGGCCGTTAGGGTGCCCTAACTGTAATTTCTTTGGAGTCTGAACAGGGTATCCAGGCTTGCCCTGTTGGTCTGCCTTCAGCACTGAGATATTTCTGCCATCCATCCAGCTGAAATAGTCTGATCTCAGAGTGTCAAAATTTCTCTGCAGCATCCCAGAGGGTGTAACGGCACTAAGGCTCGCTATTCTCATTGCGTTTTCGTTACTTGAGTAAAACACACTGCAAATGTTATTAAAAGTTCATACATCTTGCCTTTGGTAAGCGACATTAAAAAAAAAAAAAAAGATATCCTTGTTCTATTAGTTCCATTCAGTAATAATGTCCTAGAGCTCTTTAGCAATGTTGCCACTTTTCTTTGACAAAAAACATCAAAACGAAGTCAAAAATATCAAAAAACATCTAAATGTGCGTGGAAAACATCTAACACAAACATCCAAATGTAAAAAAGTCACAAATTACATAGCAATTGATATGACTTACCCTATAGAATCATGTCCTCATCTTTACTGAAGTCTGCCCTACAAGATCCACAGGATAAAATTAGCTTAGATAATGAAGTTGAAGCTTCAGATCCAAAATGACTCTGGTATGCGTAAGCTGTTCCAATTTCTTTTAATACCCAATCAGGGAGCTGATAAGTAGAACAGCCTTTTCCTACTCTTATAAGGGCGAATTTTGTTGTCAAGATAGCTTTTAAAAGGTCCAGTTCCATCCTGTTTCTTAGGTTAGATTTGATAAATTAACTCTAAATGATAAACATGTAGAAAACATCTACCATCGAAAACACCATCTAAATGCGAGGGAAAACATCTAAATCTGGATGTAAAACATCCAAAGTGGCAACACTGCTCTTTAGATAGGTGTCTCATGACTTCCTTTTACTTACTAGACAGTTCGAGAGAGGGTGAGAAGAGAGGGGAAGGGCAATGAAGAAAGAGACAAGGTGTAAGTCAGAGAAGGAGAAATGAACAGTCGAGGACCCAAAAAAACAGTAGCAGAAAGAACTGCCTAGAGTGGTTTGCAGAGTAAGAGAACGTCAGTAAGAAAGAGAGAGAGAGAGAGAGAGAGAGAGAGAGAGAGAGAGAGAGAGAGAGAGAGAGAAGAGAGAGAGAGGGAGAGAGAGAGAGAAAGAAAGAAAACGAACGATCGAAAAAACTTTTTTTTTAGAGCAAGAGGCAGGGGAGAGAGAGAAATAAACAGACAGATAGATAGGGAATTAGAGAGTTAAAGAAAGCTAAGCTACAATTGGTTTTACAGTATGAGAGAGACATAATAAAGAAGTCTTTAAAATTTGTGAACACACAGCTTCTGTATAAGACTAGTCGGTGCTCCCTGTTCTTCGTTAGTGGCAAATGCTGGGGGGAGGGGGGGAGGGGGGGGGGGGGGGGGCTGACATCCCACTTTTATTTACAGTCTCTTTATGACTTAATGAATACAGTTCTGGGTTCTTAAATCAGTGGGTCAGCTAACCAAACAGACTATGCTCTAATGGATCCCAGGTCATTGCAACATAAAGGGAAATGAAAGAGCAGACCACTTAGCACAAACTGGAAGTCGTACAGAAGAACCAGACAGAGGATGCACTATGAGGGAAAAAAAACACACACTCAGATCAAAGCAGCCATTAGAAACCACTGGAACATTTCGCATCGAAGACATAATCCTTGAGACCCAATCAATGTCTTATACGACGAAAGAAACAGACCATATACATTTAGACTGGGTACTGAACACACACACAAAGAAAGAAATTCAATATTGCGGACTCAAAACTGCCCATAGGGCAGGCACCATCAAATACTAAACATGTGTTACAGACATGCTCGCTACATGCAGTAGAGAGATCCCATGTTTGGCAGGTGGGCATTTCAATGGAAACCCAGCTGTATAGTCTGGTGGAGGACGTGTGTCACACATCGTAGAGGCCAAGGCCTTCTCATCTGAAAATCAGTTTCAGGGAAAACGAGAAGGAATTTCACCCACTGCCATGACTGGTTTCGCTATGGATTATAATTCCCTTGACTTTCTATAGCACAATGGAACTCTCGAAAACAAACTTGTTTCCATCTAGAAAGTCGGAAAGGTGCCAACAATACGTCTACCAACTCCCCGTGTAGGTTTTGGGGCCCCTTTGGTCAGGAGGGAAAATGGACTCACTGTCCATAAAAAGCAAGACGATAAAGGCGACTAATTAGAGGGATATCCTTCGAAGTCGAAGTGATCTGCCTGAGAGGTAAGGAACCAACATTCTGAATACAAATAAGCTAGAGCTGTGAAACGGACGTGCACGTAAACAAAGCCCAAAAAATGTCAAGAAGGGAACAAAAAGCCCAAACTTTACAGATGGAGTTTACAGCCGGTGAACACTAAAAAGATGAAGAAGAAGAAAAAGAAGAAGAAGAAGAAGAAGAAGAAGAAGAAGAAGAAGAAGAAGAAGAAGAAGAAGAAGAAGAAGAAGAAGAAGAAGAAGAAGAAGAAGAAAGAAGAAGAAGAAGAAGAAGAAGAAGAAGAAGAAGAAGAAGAAGAAGAAGAAGAAGAAGAAGAAGAAGAAGAAGAAGAAGAAGAAGAAGAAGAAGAAGAAGAAGAAGAAGAAGAAGAAGAAGAAGAAGAAGAAGAAGAAGAAGAAGCAACAGCAGCAGCAGCATCAACAACCACTAGATGTAAAGGGATTTAGAATTACTCAATGAGCTGATGTGAATTATTATATTCTTACTACATCATTAGATTCTGCCAAAACTTTCCCCAGAGACAAGACACAGAAAGTGCAACAGGACGACACGGAGGACAACAACGTCGTCGCCCTGGCAGCCCTGTGTTGAGGAAAGTTGCTTCCCCTCATTATGTACCTCCGACGGATTACAGAAGTGCTCCATCTTACGCTGCTCAGCCTCGCTACCAAAGTTTCTCATTATCATCAACTTATTTAAATGAGGATAATGTAAGTTTATTAGACACACAATAACATTTCTAATGATAAGGTAATGGTAATGCATAATTCTTTTTAAGCAGTCTTTCTAATGCCTTTATTTATACCTCTTCAAGGGTATGGTAGAGTCATTTTTAGCCTAATAAATCGGACCGATGGGCTACTTCCGTCACCATGGACTGTGTCAGGAAAGAAATAAACCTACTAACAAAGAATTGGTAATTATGTCTCCCAAATGATTGCTCAGTGTATTAATGGCTGTGCCAGACATTACAGGATGTAAACTATATACACAAGGTGTTCCTACAAAAATTATTTTAAAAAACACGTACCCACTCGCTCTTCATCGATGGCACTCCCTGATATGTGTGTTTTCGACGCGAACGTAAATATTATTCAATAATGCCAAACCCACGACAAATGTTTGAGGAAAGAATGGACTTTGGATTTTGAAATGGCTATCCCACTACCCGATTGTGGTAGGAACTTTCTTGAGGACCGACTCAACACTTCCGCCAGTTGGTCTTCTCCTAGTGAACTGGTGACTGCCTGAGGTCTTACAGAACGTGAACGGTTCCATTCACCTAAAACATTTCTCTAATGCGAGCACTTTGGTGACGTTCTTACATATACAGTAGCACTTTAATACAAACTTTCTTTCGCCAACCTTCAATCATGAGTTTCGTATGACTGAATACTAATTAGATCTGTAACAAAAACAAAAAGTAGAAGAGCAAAGAGTCGATAAAGAGTATGTTTGGGGAAGTGGGGGTGGGGGGGGGGGCGCACCCTGTATTCAGACTAAAAGATTTATTTTCATTTTGTAAATAATTAGCGTACGACTGGGAAGAACCAAAAAAAAAAAAAAAACATTGCAGACTCATAAGTGTCACGAGGCATTCTACAAATATGTTCAATCCATCCGCTCTTCTCCTTGTTGCCACTGATGAGCATTTCATTTTGTTTTTATCTTCAGCTCTTTATTTGAGATCTTATTTGGAAAAAGATATTTGCAAAACTCTCCATTTACATTTTTTAAATTGAAAAGTCTATAATTTATATGTAATTCTTGCTATCATCTGTATTCAAGAGAATGAGATCTGTAAAACTGATGCACACGCAACACTCAGGTTCTGGAGCAGGACTGCAGTTCAGTAGTGGACGAGCAACCAGAACCTTCCGCCAGAGTTTACAGCTGGTGAACGCAAAGAAGAAGAAGAAGAAGATTTTCCTACTTTAACTTTCACAAAATAGTAAAGCAATAAAATATTGCTCTTGAGAATTCTGAGTTTTGTCATCAACATGGCAGATGCCTTCTTTGCTTTTTTTCCCTTTTTTTTTTTTCTCTTGGCAGCTAATACAGTTGATAGATCTCTCTCTCTCTCTCTCTCTCTCTCTCTCTCTCTCTCTCTCTCTCTCTCTCTCTCTCTCTCTCTCTCTTTGTCTCTCTCTCTCTCTCTCTCTCTCTCTCTTTTTTTTTTTTGCTCGTTCGCTCGCTCCCTTGTTGCACCCAACCAGGACATCACACAAGCGATAAACACCCGGTAACACAAAGTACCACCATGCGGATGAGCATCATCCGTGGAGAGGTTCAAGAAACCCCTTTCCGCCGTTATGGCCATTTTTACGGCTCGGCTATATTCAGGGCCACCGGCAAAAGACAGGATAGGGCTTTAAAAAAAAAATTGCACCCCACAAGGGGACGACTTGTACTTCAGGCGCTCGTATCCTGTAAAACAAATAGTGGATGTTAGAGCGGTCTGTAGTTGGTAACGCTTTAACCCATGGCAGGAACTGCTGTGTATTTTAAAAAAGTAAAAAAAAAGTAAAGGATCCCGTTCCACGCCTTTAGGTGTATAGGGCATACAGGGCTAGACCTATATTTTATAAACCAACGGCACAAGATGGGTGATGTGGTCACCATCACGCCGGCCGCCTCTACTTCCCGGGACTGCACCCGGTACCCACTCAAGGCTGGGTCGACCTGGGAGCCAAGGTAATTTTTGAAGAAAAGTTCGGCTCCGCTAGGGAGCGAACCCACGACCTTTCGATCCGCGGCGCGCGTCTAGACGCTCTGCCATGGCGACTCTCTGTGTATTTAAAACACACACACAACACACATACAAGCGCTCGATGGCGCGCGCGCACACACACACACACACACCAAAATGGGTAATTTATTGCTTGGCATGTTTCACTGTATCTCGCCATTTGCATGTGTTCATGTGTTCAAATAAGCGGTTGTTATGAGCATTGATATGCAAGCTCTGTGCAGACAGAAAGACACGATTCTGAATCCCCCCTCCGCCCCCCCCCCCTCCCCTGTGTGGGTTCCGAAGCCATTTTATAGGGAAAACAAGAATAGACCTACTGCCTATCCAATAGCATGTCGTAAAAGTTGACTACATCGGAGCTTCTCTCAAAGTCGGAGTGCACTTTCCTGAGGGGCAAGGAAGCAACAGTCTGCATACAAATGAGTCAGATCTGTTAAACGGATGCACACGCATCACTCAGGTTCTGGAACAGGACTGCAGTCCAGAAGTGGATGAACAACCAGAACTTTCCCCCAGAGTTTACAGCTGGTGAACCCGAACAAGAAAGAAGAAGATGAAGATTGTGAATTTGCTGAAACCCTGCTACAACAAGCAATTACAACTGAGCGTTGTGGATTTCTGTATTTTAGTTAAAACAATTCATTTATTGTTGCATCACATTTTACTGATACTGCAGTATGCAGCTGACTAGATGAGACTATTCGTGTCAGTTAATAAACTGTACAATCAGTTGCTATGTCTTCTTTGTTCACATTTGAAGGCGTTTGTCATATCAAAAGCAACATACGTTGGATCTGCTTGTTCTTGCATCTAAACTGTTTCAACCAGCTTACTTTAAATTTGCAGTTTCTCTAGTATTCATTTGTATGGTTTTGTTTGTTTTACAATTTAAGTTTGATATTAAAGAGCAAGAATATCATTTCTTGTAATCACCTACACAGAATCAACCGGTTGACGACAGCAACTACTTGAAGATCCTCAATAGCCAGATTTCGTTGGATCAACGACCAAGTGTTGAAAGCAGCCATTACTCCTGGAAAATATCAGGGTTTACAGAATGTTCACATTCATGTGGCGGAGGTTGGTAGAAAACATTGTCATGCATTTTGAAGGTGGCTGTTAATCATTGTTTGTCACCTACAAGTCTCTGCAGACATAAAGCAGTATTCTGAGATATACTACTATAAATATTTTCAGTTTCTTGTCATTATTTTATTCCACTGTAACCACCTCGTATTTACGTCATCACTAAAATAAATTCTCTAGAATTTTTAATATAATTAATGCATGCAGGTACTTACTAGGTCTATTATCGCACACCCACCTCTTCTTCTTCTTGTTCTTCTTCTTCTTCTTATAAATATTATTATTATTAATATTATTATTATTATTATTATTACTATTTTTAATATTATTATTATTATCCTTCTTCTTCTTCTTCATCTTATTTCTTCTTCATCTTCTTTCTTCTTCTTCTTCTTCTTCTTCTTCTTCTTCTTCTTCTTCTTCTTCTTCTTCTTCTTCTTCTTCTTCTTCTTCTTCTTCTTCTTCTTATTTTCTTCCTCTTCTTCTTCCTCGTCTTCTTCTTCTTCTTTTTCTTCTGCTTCTTCTTCTTCTTTTGAAACCATGCATACCCCAGTACAGCTCTTAGACAACTTGCGTCAAGTCGTCTTATCCTTTGCCATAGCATGAATCTCAGTCAATCTCCTTCACATCCTTTGCACTCCTTATTTTTGTAAAACATGACAAGCGGTGTTCGTAGTCGTGCCTTATTTCACAATGTTGTGTCTGCTGCACTTTCAATTATTTCTTACATTATAATTTTTTATGCCTTGATTTCCAACTGTCCAACCTTTTCTCTCTTGGTATTCTCCTACCATCCGTTTGCTTTCGATGCAAACCAAAATATTATTCAATAATGCCTAAAATATGATAAATGTTTGAGGTAACAATTGACTTTGGATTTTTAATGCCTATCCCACGACCCGATCGTCGTGTGATTTTTCTGGACGACCGACTAAACACTTCCGCCAGTTAGTCTTCTGATACTGAAGTGTTGGATGTTTGAGGTCTTCCTGGACGTTGCTTAGGAACGTGAACAACAAACAAACAGTATTCTCTCTCCCCCAGTGCTAAAAACGTTTCAGTTGGTCAACACTTTAAGTCCATCATCTCTCTGCTTCTCTCTTGATATTAATAATATTCATATTCTTATATAAAAATTATATATTTTATTAATAAAATATAACTGCTGTGTGAAAGATGGGTGCTCTAAAGGGCCGAATGTAAGACGGGCCTGCGTGCTCAATTTATATTAAAGTTCTGACCCTTTGAAATTAATGTTCGTTCGTTCAGTTTACCTCTGCTTCTCTTCACCTTCTACTCATGACGTGACCAAAGTAAAAGTAAAGATCCCTTCTCACACCTTTAGGCGCATAGGGCTTAAGGAAAGAGCACCCATATTTTTACAGACTAATCAGCACTAGCTGGGTAATGTGGTCAGCATTACGCTGGCCGTCTTCACTTCCCCAGGACTGCCATCCTGGTACCCATTTTCGGCTGGGCCGACCTTCAACGTGACCAAAGAATATAGATTATCTCCGTTTGACATTGGCGAAAGCTCTAAATGTTGTTTAATAATGACTTTTGTGTGTGTGTGCAAAAAAACTCACAGCAATATTCACAATTGATTTTTCTAAGAACAGTACTCTTTACTTACGAGTTGATACTTTGCCTAGAGAGGCATCCTAGGCATAGCACAGTGAAGATGGTCACCCTATACTGAAAACGTTTCAGTTGGTCAATACTTTAAATCCATCATCTGTCTGCCATGACTTCCTGTAAATCTGATGGGGATGGCTGCTAGGAGTGGGGCTGTGCTGGTACTTCACACTCCCTTCAGGTGTCCGACAGGAGTGGGACTATGCTGATACTTCACACTGGCCCGAGGTGTCCAGCAGGAGTGGGGCTATACTGTTACTTTACACTACATTGAGGTGTCCGGCAGGAGTGGGTCTATGCTGGTACTTTACACTTCCTTGAGGTGTCCGACAGGAGTGGGGCTATGCTGGTACTTTGCACTACCTTGAGGTGTCCGGCAGGAGTGAGGCTATGCTGGTACTTTACACTAACTTGAGGTGTCCGGCAGGAGTGGGTCTATGCTGGTACTTTACACTACCTTGAGGTGTCCGGCAGGAGTGAGGCTATGCTGGTACTTTACACTACCTTCAGGTGTCCGGCAGGAGTGGGGCTATGCTGGTACTTTACACCACCTTGAGGTGTCCGGTAGGAGTGGGGCTATGCTGGTACTTTACACTACCTTGAGGTGTCCGTCAGGAGTGGGGCTATGCAGGAACTTTACACAATCTTGAGGTGTCCGGAGGGAGTGGGGCTATGCTGGTACTTTACACTACCTTGAGGTGTCCGGAAGGAGTGGGGCTATGCTGGTATTTTACACTACCTTGAGGTGTCTGGCAGGAGTGGGGCTATGCTGGTACTTTACACCACCTTGAGGTGTCCGGCAGGAGTGGGGCTGTGCAGGAACTTTACACTATTCTGAGGAGTCCGGAAGGAGTGGGGCTATGCTGGTACTTCACACTGTCTTGAGGTGTCCGGCAGGAGTGGGGCTATGCTGGTACTTTACACTACCTTCAGGTGTCCGGCAGGAGTGGGGCTATGCAGAAACTTTACACTACCTTGAGGTGTCCGGAAGGAGTGGTGCTATGCTGGTGCTTTACACTGTCTTGAGGTGTCTGGAAGGAGTGGGGCTATGCAGGAACTTTACACTACCTTGAGGTGTCCGGAAGGAGTGGGGCTATGCTGGTATTTTACACTACCTTGAGGTGTCTGGCAGGAGTGGGGCTATGCTGGTACTTTACACCACCTTGAGGTGTCCGGCAGGAGTGGGGCTATGCAGGAACTTTACACTATTCTGAGGAGTCCGGAAGGAGTGGGGCTATGCTGGTACTTCACACTGTCTTGAGGTGTACGGCAGGAGTGGGGCTATGCTGGTACTTTACACTACCTTGAGGTGTCCGGCAGGAGTGAAAGAGGCGCTTTACAGCTCAAACAACGCTGGCTGTTATTGTTGCGCTTATCCTGTCACCCCTTCTCAATTTTTATTGTCTGCTTTTGTTATTTTAATCTAGTAGTTCCATATTTAATTTGTTTAAAAAACTGACACAGCCATTATTTCAATATTCTGTCCACTTTGAAGGCTTTCAAAAAACTAACATCGTGTGTGTATCAGTGGCTGGCAGGACTCAAGTTGTGGTGACACCGGAAAACTGCGCAGACAGCCTCAGACCAAAAGTTCAGACAGTTGAATGTAATACTTCACCGTGTGAACCCGCGTATGTCCTGATTTTATTCTTTTCCAGATCTGTACTTATCTGGTGTAAATGTGAATGAATACTTTTAATACAATTCTTGGCTTTCATAATCCGTGGCTAGGCTACCATTAACATTTTAAGCATGTGCTTGTTATGTTTTATCCCCTTATCTATGCTTCTCCTTGGCTGCTGAAAATGGGGACGGAGCGCTTATGGGAATGCCACAATTGCTGTGATGTTGGTTCTTGAATCAAACCTAATTCAGTCAATCTATGGTTCTCCTTAAAGTTGTTGAGAAAGTTGTAAAATGTACAAATTTACTTCAATTTCAATGCCCAAAAAAATTCTGCATGTAGCCTGTTTCATACCATAGTCTTACGAGGGAAAGGTGCTTTCCATGGAGGATGTAAATAGGTTTTTCGCTGGTAAGGATGTTTCAGTCACATGTATGAAAAAACGTGAATGTTGTTGTGTTGTGTACAAGAAAGCACCTAGTAACTCACCTCTGGCGCCATTAGTCTCTTCGCTGATGTTAAGGAAACCTCGTGCAAGGCGCCGGTCAAATGTCCACATCATGCACCACAAATAAAGACCTCTATCGTCTAAGTCGAAATGGCAATGGATCTCGGAACTGAAAACTTCCAGAGAACAGTGTTCAAAAAAGCCCCTAGCACTTATTATGCACCACAGTTGCACGAGATATAACTTCCATCTAAATCTAATTTGCAACACGAGTGGATTCCACAGGTCGAGTCTCCTACCAAATGACAGAATTTTTTCAACTGTTTTTCGACCGAGAGTCTATTTAAAAAGCATCACCCACTGGATGATACATGAGGTTCCCAGTATCCGTGGTCACTGTAAAGATATTACCGGTGTATCCTTTAAGTCGGAATCCGTCTGGCATAAGAGACAAATAATGTAACAGACTGAGTACACGTAAAAACATAAGACGGATCCGTAAAACTTGCACGTGCAAAACTCAAGTCCTGGTGACCTGGTGCTGCTGGCACCATTAGTATCGGAACTCTTCGCTGGCTGCTGAAGATGGGGACGGAACGCTTATGTGAATGCCCCGAGTGCTGTGATGTCGGTTCTTGAATCAAATCAATCAAATACAATCAAATCAACTCAAGTCCTGGAACAGATAGAACACAGCCACAATCTAGAAATGAACCAACAACTACGTCTTTCCTCTGAAGTTTCAAGCGATTGGTTTTGATGTCAGACTCCTTTATTTTGGATTCATCGTGTCATCCTGGAGCTACGAAATTTCTTGCTTTCCACGACGCTATTAGTGTCGCTGTTGTGTCAAAAGCAGTGGCTGAGAACCAGAACAATCGTTTTAACGAACAATAATAGATATGGAAATTGTAGACTGCAATTGGTTTGTATCTCTACAGCCTAGTATAGTCATAAGATGTACCAGTTCCGTTGAATATTTTAAATACGTGTATGTGGAGATGAAATATTGCCCCATTTAAGGGTTGTCATTATATATATTTATTCTTAGATATGCTACATACAGTGACCTGGGCTCACAGGTCGACTAAAATTAACGTTGCCAGGAATTTCTTTGGAATCAAGGGTGGTCGTAGTTGTATTGACCACATACATAATTTTTTTCAGTGAGAATCAATCAAAATATATGGAAATAGCAGCACATACCAATGCGCCTAATTGTGTGATAAAAGTACTGTACTTCTTTGCGAGTTTACATGCCGGCCCCATACAACACCACTATGGTGGTATTGGCCTTAAAATTACATGGACCTCATTCAGCTAGTATCTTCTTCAGTGCTTGCATTTTAAAATGACAATTGATGTGTTGTGTTGTTTTTAACAGTTAGTCTGCGATATCTGAGCTTTTCACCGCAGCCCATCTGATTTCAGCAAACTCTTAATTAGTTGTATTTGATGACATGCTGTGAATCCTGGACAACCGGTAGGCAGGCCAAACAATTTCTGGAGGCCTCGGAGATGTGGTTTTACAGAAGAATGCTTAGAATACCTTGGACAGCCAAAAAGAGCAACCAAGAGGTTTTGAAAGAGGCGGGAGCCCGAAGACAACTTATCACAGACATCAGAAGGAGACAGTCATCATTTGTCGGCCATGTTATGAGAAGAGGGAAAATAGAACATGTGATCACTGGAAAGATATATGGAAGGAGAGATATAGAAAGACAACGAAAGAAGATGCTTGACAGTCTTGTTGCATGGCATGGAGGTGTGTCGGCACACGAACTGATACATGCTGCAGGAGATCGCAGATTATGGAGAGGCATGATCGCCCACGCCAGTCGGCAAGGCACCTAATGATGATGATGATGATGATGACATGCGCGTTAAAGAGCGTTTCCCTTCACCCAAAATTGGGCTCCGGGTTGTACATGGAGATATCCTGTAACCAATTGTTTTAAAGCAAGTAGATAAAATTAATCGGCTCTGTGGCTAAGTAGAGGCGAACGCTTTGTAATGCCGGGATGCCGGGTTCGATCCCAGCTGCAGGCCTTGGGCCTTGCTTTGGTTTCGACAGTGGTATCAAGAAAGCTGACGGTCCAGAAAGCAATGGCAATTTGCCTAGAAAAACCACACAACAGCCAGGGGCTGCTGCGGTTGGTTCTGCAACGTCTTGTAAAGGATTCGCAACTAACTTAAGATACAAATTTAAAAAAAAACACATATTTTCTAAATTCTATCTGACCAGGTGGGAAGCCGAAGAATGGTCCGAGTGCAGCGCAACCTGTGGATCGGGTACACAGACAAGGACAGTGGAGTGTCGGCAGCGGTTTTCCTCCACGCTGACATTGAAGGTGTCAGCCGACCAATGCAGACAGGCTGAGAAGCCAGCTATCGCCCAACAATGTGAGAAAGGGTTGTGTACTCAATGGAAAGTCGGTTCTTGGAGTGAGGTGTGTAGCCAATGTCTGATTTCACCCTCTGTTTCATTTCTCTAAATCTGTTATAGCAGAATAAATTAGTGGAATACACTGTTTGTTTATTTAATTTTTATTGGGGGGGGGGGGGGCACGGGGGAAAAAGGGGGGGGGGGGAGGGTAACCAGCTGTGAATTTTGGCGAAACGTTCTTGTTCATTTGGAATTAATCAAGTAACACAAAGTATATTGATCGGCACTCATAGAAAGCTATAGTTACCATGCCGGGAATTGAACCTGTCACCTCCAGACGGCGTCTGTGCCTCGCCATGGATACAAGTGCACTAAGAACAGGGTCAACTAGGCACCCCTATGTTCTTAGTGCACTTGTATCCATGGCGAGGCGCACAGTAACTATAGCTTTCGATTTTTATGTTGTCTAGTGTGTTCTTCCATCTTTCTACTTCTTTCTATGAGTGCCGATCAATACACTTTCTGTTACTTGATTAATTCATAATATTTAACGGCCTCAAAAGGTTCCCCCCACTGTTTATTTATAGGAATGTTGTTGATTTGGACTTTGGCTTTGTACCAGGACCTGAGTTTTGCCTGCACATCCGTTTTACTAACTTGTTTGTGCAGAGTTCTTGTTTCCTGCCTCTCCGGTAGATGTACTCCGACTTTAAAGGAAGACGTCGATCCTATCTCTGTGATAATTGTGGCTACTGTTTCGTTAGAAATGTTGTTGCCTCATTTGTGAGGTGTCCTCTTTCTCCCTTTATCTAACGATGTTGCCTCGGGAGAACCCATTTAGGGCACGTGTGTAGACGGGACAGTCTTCAAGGGAACGCAGGAGCAGATTGAGGGCATTCCTCGCCACCCAGGGGGGCTTATATAAATACAGAGCCGACACATGATGATCTGGTGCTTGGCTCACCGAGGGAATCGTCACGTCCTGCACATGACTGTCTATCCTCAAAACCGTAAGTTGTGCTTTTCACTGGTCAAGGGCTGCGCCCTTCAGAGATCAGCAGGGAGCAACTTGTAGGTCCAGGACTTCCATGACCACACAAATAGGTACATTCTTTTTTTTAAACGTTAGGCATCTTTAACATTGTTTCAGCTGTGCTCAGTCGCAGAAAAAAAGGGGGAGGGGGGGGGGGATAAGAACATGAAATGACAACATCAAGAAATGGACAGGACTAAATTATTATACACTTGTTCGACAAATGGAAGACAGAGAAAGATGGCGAGTTTTCTCTGCCAGTGCTTCCAACGATACACCCCAAGACCTTAGAGGATCAAGGCCTATGTTATGTCATCCCTTCAGTTACAACACTCCGTTAACCAATTGACAGTATACAATTGTCTTCCTCACAGTGCAGCAGAGAATGCGGTGGAGGGGAGAGACGTCGGATTGTCCGGTGTGTTGATGCGTATGACTCTCCAATCCCGGTCAGTTATTGCAGCGGTCAAGTGCCAGCAGAACTGGAGGCTTGCAACACGCAGGCTTGTAATGTCCGGTGGTGGCTTTCGGACTGGTCAAGAGATGTAAGTTTTAGACAGGAGTCTGATTATTGGTTGGATTGCTATGATTTAGGGAATGTGGGTGGTGGGGGTGGAAGGGGGGGGGGGGGTGGGGGGGGGGTGTTTTACAGTTTTTATTCTACTTTCTCAGCTATGCATTTACGAGTAGTTCTCAAATATATATATCCACATGTAAATCTGTCTCTCAGACTATTTGTCTGTACATTTATCCGTTCTTCAGTTTGTCTGTCTATCTGTCTGCCTACCTAATTACCTACCTTTGGAGGGCTGAGTGGTCTCGAGGCATGGTGTTCTCAAGTGCTGGAGGTCCCAGGTTAAGACCCTGGTAAAGGCTGGAATTTTACCTGGACTTCTAAGAATTTTCCCTGGTCTACGGGTAGTAAGATCGAACACCCGTGGGTATAGCTGCGCACGTAAAAAATCTCTTGGCAGTTAGAAATATAAAAAAGAGTAGCCTAACGACGTTGCCCAGACAAAATTTTGAGTAAAAATCTACCCGAAGTATTTTAGGATCCCCGCCGGTGCTACAGAGTTCGTGCACTGCGCTAAATTTTTCGGACTCAGAGTTGAGTTGGAAGAAGAACGGAGCACTTATTAGTTGCTACCCGTGTGCCATGATGTTGATCCATTGTATGAACCATAACCGTACCTACCTACCAGTGCTGTGCAAAAGATGAGTGTCTAGAAGGGCTGAATGTAAATCGTGCATGCATGCTCAAATTGTGGACCATTAAAAATAAAGTGTGTTCTTTCGTTCGTTCGTTCGTTCGTTCGTTCGTTCTGTCGGCTATCCTCCGAAAAACGGTTCGTAAAAATATACCCTAACAGGGTCTCAGTCACATGTCAGTTGCGGACTTCTGGGACTATACCGTCACTGCCGAATTGCGAACTTCCGGGGACTATATCGCATCGCGCGGCGTGGATTGGGGCTAAACTAGATGGCTGGGACTAACGAGCAAATAAAATGAAGGAAGCTGCAGGAGATGCGGTAGCTGCTCGTGAGTCCCAGCCATCTAGTTTTGCCCGACTCCCACGCCGCACGTAGCGGCGTGGGAGAGACGCTCGCAATTTAAGTCAGCGGCAGTTCGCAATTGACATGTGACTGAGGCCCTGTTAGGGTATATTTTCGGCCTCGATAAATTGGGACCGTTATTCGGAGGATAGCCCGTTCTGTCTATATGCCTCTCAGTTTATTGCTTCTGCGGCGTCCGTGGCTTAGGCGTTGCAAGTCCGACTCGTAATTCCAGCGTAACGGGATTGAAACCCACTGCTGTCTGTGTAGATTTTTATCATGGTATGGGTCGTCGCAAGTCGACCCAGCCTAAAATGGGTACTAGGATGTATGTCCTGGGGAAGTAAAGGCGGCCGGTGTAATGCTGATCACATTACCCACCTAGTGCCGATTGGTGTGTAAATATATGGGACGCCCTTACCATTTGCCCGATGCGCCTAAAGGCGTGACATGGATTCTTTACTTACTTTACATACTGTTGCTTCTACATTTATGTCATTCACTTCACACTCCAACAGCAGTCATTGCAATAGAATCCTTTGACATCCCTTTAAATGAATATGATATGTTTATCATTGTAGTGTTCTGAGTTATGTGGGCAAGGCACAAGAACCCGGTCTGCTCTGTGCTTGAACAAGGGAGGGGAGGTGATGCCTGAGAGTCTGTGTGACAAGAGAGATCTGCCCAGCACAGAGGAAGTCTGCAGAAACGACGCTGGTTGTCGGGGGTCTTGGTTCGCTGGGGCCTGGGGAAAGGTAGTGTGATGTTTATAGCTGTGGTGTTTATATATGTGGTGTTTATACATGTGGTGTTTATACATGTGGTGTTTTTATATGTGGTGTTTATACATGTGGTGTTTATACATGTGGTGTTTATACTTGTAACGTTTATATATGTGGTTATATATGTGGTATTTATACATGTGGTGTTTAAACATGTGGTGTTTATACATGTGGTGTTTATACTTGTAACGTTTATATATGTGGTTATATATGTGGTATTTATACATGTGGTGTTTAAACATGTGGTGTTTATACATGTGGTGTTTATACATGTGGTGTTTATACATGTGGTGTTTATACATGTGGTGTTTATATATGTAGTGTTTATACATGTGGTGCTTATATATGTGGTGTTTATACATGTGGTGTTTATACATGTGGTGCTTATATATGTGGTGTTTATACATGTGGTGCTTATATATGTGGTGTTTATACATGTGGTGCTTATATATGTAGTGTTTTAGAGCGTCGTGGACTCAAAGAAGTGATCAAGTATTAAGCCTCGCGCTCCGAAAAATTAATTTCATGGGCTGCATGGTTCGGTTCAGGATTTGCATTTCAGGGAGATTCATAACATTGTCACTGGCGCTACGGAGTTGCTTGTACTGCACTCTTGGTAGGCGTCGACCTACCATTATGCCATGAGTGACCGAGTCATATGGGGCACAATCCGGTACCAAAGGTCTATCCTGTCGACCTTTCTTTAGTGTGACGTTGAGTGTATAGCATCCAATCTTCTTTTTTACTCTTATTGACTCTTCAACTCTCTCTTTCTCTCTCTCTCTCTGTTACTTCTTACTTTCCCTCTTATTTACTCTTCAACTCTCTCTCTCTCTCTCTCTCTCTCTCTCTCTCTCTCTCTCTCTCTCTCTCTCTCTGTTATTTCTTACTTTCCCTCTTATTGGCTCTTCAATTCTCTCTCTGTTAATTCTTACTTCCTTCTTATTGGCTCATCAATTCTCTCTCTCTCTCTGTTACTTTTTACTTTCTCTCTTACTGACTCTCCAGTTCTCTCTCTCTCTCTGTTTCTTCTTACTTTCTCTCTTATTGACTCTTCAATTCTGTCTCTCTGTTACTTCTCACTTTCTCTCTTACTGACTCTTCAATTCTCTCTCTCTCTCTCTCTCTGTTACTTCTCACTTTCTCTCTTACTGACTCTTCAACTCTTTCTCTCTCTCTCTCTCTCTCTGTTACTTCTCACTTTCTCTCTTACTGACTCTTCAATTTTCTCTCTCTCTCTCTCTCTCTCTGTTACTTCTCACTTTCTCTCTTACTGACTCTTCAATTCTCTCTCTCTCTCTCTCTCTCTCTCTCTCTCTCTCTCTCTCTCTCTCTCTCTGTTACTTCTCACTTTCTCTCTTACTGACTCTTCAATTTTCTCTCTCTCTCTCTCTCTCTCTCTCTCTCTCTCTCTCTATATATATATATATATATATATATATATATATATATATATATATATATATATGTACTTTCTCACTTTCTCTCTTACTGACTCTTCAACTCTCTCTCTCTCTCTCTCTCTCTCTCTCTCTGTTATTTCTTACTTTCCCTCTTATTGGCTCTTCAATTCTCTCTCTGTTAATTCTTACTTCCTTCTTATTGGCTCATCAATTCTCTCTCTCTCTCTCTCTCTGTTACTTTTTACTTTCACTCTTACTGACTCTCCAGTTCTCTCTCTCTCTCTGTTTCTTCTTACTTTCTCTCTTATTGACTCTTCAATTCTGTCTCTCTGTTACTTCTCACTTTCTCTCTTACTGACTCTTCAATTCTCTCTCTCTCTCTCTCTCTCTCTCTCTCTCTCTCTCTCTCTCTCTCTGTTACTTCTCACTTTCTCTCTTACTGACTCTTCAACTCTCTCTCTCTCTCTCTCTCTGTTACTTCTCACTTTCTCTCTTACTGACTCTTCAATTTTCTCTCTCTCTCTCTCTCTGTTACTTCTCACTTTCTCTCTTACTGACTCTTCAATTCTCTCTCTCTCTCTCTCTCTCTCTCTCTCTCTCTCTCTCTCTCTCTCTGTTACTTCTCACTTTCTCTCTTACTGACTCTTCAACTCTCTCTCTCTCTCTCTCTCTCTCTCTCTCTCTCTCTCTCTCTCTGTTACTTCTCACTTTCTCTCTTACTGACTCTTCAATTTTCTCTCTCTCTCTCTCTCTCTCTCTCTCTCTCTGTTACTTCTCACTTTCTCTCTTACTGACTCTTCAATTCTCTCTCTCTCTCTCTCTCTCTCTCTCTCTCTCTCTCTCTCTCTCTCTGTTACTTCTCACTTTCTCTCTTACTGACTCTTCAATTTTCTCTCTCTCTCTCTCTCTCTCTCTCTCTATATATATATATATATATATATATATATATATATATATATATATATATATATATATATATCTGTTACTTCTCACTTTCTCTCTTATTGACTCTTCAACTCTCTCTCTCTCTCTCTCTCTCTCTGTTACTTCTCACTTTCTCTCTTACTGACTCTTCAACTCTCTCTCTCTCTCTCTCTCTCTCTCTCTCTCTGTTACTTCTCACTTTCTCTCTTACTGACTCTTCAACTCTCTCTCTCTCTCTCTCTCTCTCTCTCTCTCTCTGTTACTTCTCACTTTCTCTCTTATTGACTCTTCAATTTTCTCTCTGTTACTTCTCACTTTCTCTCTTACTGACTCTTCAACTCTCTCTCTCTCTCTCTCTCTCTCTCTCTCTCCCTCTCTCTCTGTTACTTCTTACTTTCTTTCTTATTGACTCTTCAGTTCTCTCTGTTACTTAATACTTTCACTCTTTCAGCACTAGTACCTGATCCCGTATGTTGCGTTAGTTGCATATCCTTTACAGCACGTTGCTGAACAGACCCCAGCATTTTCTAGCTGTTGTGGGTTTTAAGGAAATTTTTACCTTCAGCAGTTTACAATTGTTTTTGAACTGTTGGCTCTAGGTACCACTGTCGAAAACAACACAAGAATGTCTGCCGCCAAATCGCTTGCAGTTGGGGTGGAACCCGGCACCCCGGCATTACAAAGCCTGTTCGCAACGCCTGAGCCACAGATGCCTAGACATATGTTAATTCTGCATTGCCTATCTCAGAGTTAGTGTACTTTAGAGCAACAGGCTTTTGGGTATCGGTGAATTAGAGTGGTAGACATACGGGCAGGGTGAGTTAAAGTAACCACTGATAAAATTAACGAAGAGATGAGACTGACTAAATACGTCACTTGTACAATGTGTAATAAAGAGATGAGACTGACTAAATACGTCACTTGTGCAATGTGTGACAAAGAGATGAGACTGACTAAATACGTCACTTGTACAATGTGTAATCAAATAATGTACATTGAGTTGACAGGTGTCTAGGGCGGTAATTGATTATCCTGACGAGTGTTGTTAGTTGCTTCTCCCCCCCCCCCCTTTTTTTCCCAGTTGTCTACATAATTGTTTTTTTCTCTTGTCTCTGTTAGCTTAGTCAACGTTTACGAGAAGCTGATTTGTCACACACAACTTTACCTTACCTTTGACTCTGTTAGCTTAGTCAACGTTTACGAGAAGCTGATTTGTCACACACAACTTTACCTTACATTTGTCTCTGTTAGCCTAGTCGACGTTTACCAGAAGCTGATTCGTCTGACACACAGCCTTACCTTACTGGTAAATAGGAGGAGGGACGGAAGAGGGAGAGAGGAGAATATGGAGATTAGACGCATTACTCCTTAACAAGCAAATGGTAAAAGGTGATTAAAGATATACTGAAACCAGATGTGTTTGAGTCTAAAATTTAGATATCGCATCCTAACTGCAAACCACAACACAACGTGTCAACAGCTGTTTGATTTGCGAAGGAGGAGGAGGGGGAAGAAGAAGAAGAAGTAGAAGAAGAAGAAGAATAAGAATAAGAAGAAGAAGAAGAAGAAGAAGAAGAAGAAGAAGAAGAAGAAGAAGAAGAAGAAGAAGAAGAAGAAGAAGAAGAAGAAGAAGAAGAAGAAGAAGAAAAAGAAGAAGAAGAAGAAGAAGAAGTAACAGCAGCAGAAGAAGAAGAAGAAGAAGAAAAAGAAGAAGAAGAAGAAGAAGAAGAAGAAGAAGAAAAAGAAGAAGAAGAAGAAGAAGAAGAAGAAGAAGAAGAAGAAGAAGAAGAAGAAGATGATGATGTAACAGCAGCAGAGCCGGCAAGTGGAAGGGGTAGCTGGGATGCTGTACTTTGATTCATTTTTCCCAGTGAACTAAAGCAACTAAAACCATTGCTCATCCAGTGCTCCGCTGACTGTGGAGAGGGTATGCGTTCCCGTCCAGTTGTATGTCTACGCCGCTCTGTCGGTTCGGTATCCTTGGTCAGAGATGAGGAGTGTGATGCGTCCGCCAAACCTGAGACTGAGGAGAGTTGTGTCAACACAGCATGCAATGCTGTCTGGTATACTTCGCCCTGGTCCGAGGTAATAGTCTTTGCTTTTCATCGAGTTTAACGAAGATTTATTTCAGATGCTTAGTTATGTTATGAGAAAATGGAATTTTGCACATGTTGACCATTGGAAGTATTCGTGAAAAGAGAGGCAGAGGTAGATTCTTAACAGTTTATTTTTTTTTTTTTTGGTTGGGGGGGGGGGGGGAAGCGAGTTGGGTGGTATTTTCATGGAGGGGCGGCAGCACATGAACTGATCCATGCTGGTTTTCCCAGGTTGTGGACAGACATGATCGCCCACTGCAGCAGGGAAGGCACTAAATGATGATGATAGAAACTAAATTTGTTTTATAACTGTGTATTTGCTTTTATCATCTGCCTACCAGGCCCGTGGTGAAAGGTTCGACTCTGTAGTAGAAAATTGGGTGTTTCAAAACTAACTAGGGTTGATGTACCTTACCTCTTTCAGGCCCATGAATTTTGACAGACTTGGCCCACATTAATTTCCCTTTACAAAAATGGCAGAGGGGTGGGTGTACAAGAAAGGCAATAGAGAATGTAATATTCTTCTAATCCTAATAAAAATATGTATTTTTTTAAAGAGAAATTTATGTACATTTTGAGTGTATGTTTAATTTGTTTATAGTTAGCAGGAAGGAAGAATTCTGCAGGTGGTAATTTCGTAACAACAACATTTTACAAACAAATTCTTCACTTACCATGATTTTACAGCCACAAGGGTAGAGAATTTCTAAATTTGAGAACAAAACTTCAAAGTTTGTTCAATTTCCTATCAAATTCCAAAGTTATGATAAGTTTAGGGGTTAGTTTGGCACTCAGTGGTTCTTAGTTCTCACAGAGTACTAAGCAAAATTTCAGAGACAAAATGGCAGAAAAATGGGCCATTGCACGCACACTATTTTAATTTACTATTTACTTTGTACAGTTACATACAGACTGTAACTGCGATGATTTCAATGTAGCTTCACCATACTATATAACAATCTCTTTGTTTAGAGCACTTTTTTCTTTTAATAAATAGTCCTTGAATATTTGACTTTTGATGAAAGTAGCCCTTGAATATTTGACTTTTAATGAAAATAGCAACAGCACGATGTGCCTATGGTCGAGGTGGCCAGAAGAGCTAGAAACAGAACCTTATATCTCCCTCGATACCCACAGTGGTAAAAGAGGAAGTGAAGAAGAAGAAGAAGAATGAAAATAGCCCTTAAATATTTGACTTTTGATAAAAATAGTCTTTGTCTGACAATTTAATGAAAATAAAGCTTTAATGTTCGACTATTGATGAAAATAGTCTTTGACATTTTGATGAAAAAAATCTTTGAATGTTTCACAATTTGATAACAATAGCAATTGAATACAGTCACCCAGTCCATCACATCAGTTATCTAATAAGTTTAAGACTGAACCAGACACTAAATCAATCAACCGTCTCGATTTTTATTTCAACAGTGTTCCGTAACGTGTGGTGAAGGTCATCGCACAAGAGAGGTACGCTGCATTGAAGATAATAGAAGACCGTCTCATCGTTGCCCCAGCACATCCAAACCTGATGCTCGTGAAGTCTGTACATTAGCTCAATGTTTACCTAGAAACCAGCCCCACAGAACCAGTAGAAGAAATGGTGAGTTTTCACACAAATAACAAAATGACAATTATTCTTCTTGTTTCACATTACATTACAAAATACTGATTATAAAATCTCAGCCTCTCCTTCCCTCCAACTTTCCTACCCTTACGGTGTACTATAGTTTTCTCATTCTCATCATCTGACCAAAGAATGTAGATTGTCTCATTCTGATGTGGACAATCACTTCACTTCGTGAATAAGTTTCTTTCAAGACGTCTTGATTACTCTTTTTATCTGTCCAAAGTATTCTCATATTTCGTCTATAAAACTACATCTCCGCAGCTTCTAAATAAATTTTCACTAATTTACTAACTGTCCATATCCGTATATCAACATAGGGTTTATAAAAGCTTTTATAATTCTTTTTCTCATCTTAATTGACAAAGAAAAATTGCATAAAATATTCTTCATTTTTGTAAAATGCTGCCTTTGCTTGAGTTATTCGACATTTAACTTCCTTAATACATCGTCTTTCTGATTGTATCAGGGTACCCAAATACTTAAACATGTAAACCTGCTTGAAATTATAAAATATACATCTAAAAGCATTATTGGAGTATCTTGGATACATATGCCAGGTTTGTTTCGACAGCACAGAGTAAATACAGTAAGTCTTCTGAGCATTAAATTCCACCCAATATGGGACGCAGTTTTTTTTTTTTTTTTTTTAAATTTTTTTTTTTTAAAGCGCCACCCTGGTTTTCGTCGATGAGCCCTAAATAAAACTTACATATAAAACTGCAAAATCACCAATTCGTCTTGTCCCTATCCGAACAACATCCGGTAATTTCGTGCAGCAGGAAAACCAACCCTGAGCTTCATGAACTCAGGTGGGCCCACTCTCTGAGAATGTCTAGGAGCTCGTGGGCCGAAACATTTGTCGACGAGAGATTACTTCTACTGACGATTGGTAGATCCCTGCTGTACATGCTCCCCTGTGGAGTTTCTTCTTACATATTGACCGGGGTTTCTGTGCTTTGCGCCTGGGTGATTCTCATCTGGATGGTGGTACTTTGTGTCACCTGGTGTTTATCAATCGTTGTGCGGCTCTGGGGATTTGAACGATACTCACTCACTCACTGACTTAGGCCGGAATTGCGATTTTGTTTTTCACTTAAGGGGATAGACAGTTGCACATTGAAAGGTTCTAAATATATTATCAAAGCCTGCATGTACAAATATACCTGAAAAGTATATTCAAGTTATATGTAAATGAGTATTTGTGCATGATTGAGTATGCCTGCATGCGTGGATGCGTGAATCTAAACTAATAGATGCATAGACAGACCAATATTCTGGCGGAGAGACATATGTTCAGAAGGAGGGACGCCTGGATGGATAGATGGAGTAAGGGTGAAGTTTTCGATATACAGTCGGATGACTGGATGGGTGATGAACAAACTTTATTTTCAAACCGACAAAAATTGGCCAGGTGGTGGTAAATGTCATGATAGAGAGTTCGGGAGATAGATGATCGGACAGACATACAAACATGCGTACTAGTGGATTGGGCGGTCAGTTAACAGGGTAGAGAGAGAGAGAGAGAGAGAGAGAGAGAGAGAGAGAGAGAGAGAGAGAGAGAGAGAGAGAGAGAGAGAGAGATAACATACAATGAAAGAGAGAGAGAGAGAGAGAGAGAGAGAGAGAGAGAGAGAGAGAGAGAGAGAGAGAGAGATTCAGAGTAATTGCAGGACGTATAAACATATTTTATCAAAGTTATATTTATTCACGGTTCTTCCACGTCTGTTACAATTATAACATATTCTGGGTGCAAGAATAACTATAATAAAACTGTATTATGTTGTGTTTTTTTTTTTTTTTAATGTATAAACAGCTTCAGCATATGTTATTACTAATAAAATCATTCATTTAACTAATATATGTGTATTATGTCGCAGGTTTTAATTATCTTGCGGGCATTTTCTTCGTGGATTTAAATTTTCTCAACTAATATTATTATTATTGCGGCGTCCGTGGCTTAGGCGTTGTGAGTCCGACTCGTAATGCATCGTACCGCAATCGAAACCCATTGCTGGCTGCGTGGATTTTTATCATGGGGCGTTCGCAGGTCGACCCAGCCTAAAACGGGTACCAGGATGGCTGTCCTGGGGAAGTAAAGACGGTCGGCGTGATGCTGACTACATTACCCACCCAGTGCCGAGTGGTCTGTAAAAATATGGGACGCTCTTCCCATATGCCCGATACGCCCAAGGCGTGTAAAGGGATCTTTACTTTACTTTACTTTTTACCTAATATTATTTTTCATCGCTTTTTCTATAATTATTCAGGTTCATGGTGAAAATATTAAAACAAAACATACATTAACAAGTTTATCACAAAAAGTTTGCTCCACCAAAAACACTCAACATTTAAGGTGTGCTTTAGAAAAATGAACGTTAAATAGTTTTCTTGGACTATTTTTATTACGTTAACTTGACATTTACAATGATGATAATTTTTTTGAAATATAAATAGAATGTGACTTAATGAGACTCACAAACAGATTGGGTTACTGGCAACCGAAAGTATATTGTTTTTCTGCCGTCTGCCACGCTAATGGAGCATAGGACCGCCACCAACTGAAGCTATGTTGTTCTTTTATTCGCCATTGCATACAGCTCACCTCAATTACTCCCCATCTTTTTTTCTAATTTCACGCGCTAGCTCTATTCTCCGTTAAAGAGGGGGGGGGGGAGGGGGGTTTGTTTTATTTCTATGCCCCTGTGGATTCCAGTGCAAAGACATTCTAGTTATGCTGTTCTCTGCATTTGTCATATGGCCAACACTAGCGTCTTTTCTCCACCTCTTGGTCCACTGGAGCTTGTTCTATCCGAAAGCTCAACATATAGTGATTCTATCTTACCATTTAATTCTATCTTTTCTGAGCAGGTGCTAGTTAATGAATGTTTGTAGTTTGTTAATAATCGTTTTAGTTGCGCTCCATGTTTCCGCGCTCCATACAGCAACGCTGATTTGACATTAGAACCAAAAAGAAAATTTCAGTTTATTTTTAGTTTTAGTTTTAGTTTCTTTTGACCTTCACAATTTTCCTAGTGCTATTAAAGCTCCTCTTGCCTCTTGTGTTCCTATTTCAATATCTCTATCGGTCCCTCCCCTTTATCTACCTTACTGCCCATATAGGTTTATGTCTCGACATCTTCGAGTGTGATACTATTACGAGATACCAAATTACTATTTGACTAGTTTATTCTAACTATCTTTGTCTTTCCCTTATTGATTTTAGAACAACCATGGACAAGTGACAAAACATAAAGTATATTATTAAATAATAATAAACACCCCTTTCACTCCTTGGGCGCATATAGCATATAGTCTACTTCCCCCGCCCCTTTTTCCCCTCCTCCCTCACATCTATGATTGCATTCTGAAGGATTAACATCTCAAAGATTAGAATCAAATAGGGTTAAAAACCCCAGAAACCCAGTTCAGTTGTATGGTCATACACTGGGGCATCACAAAATTCATAAAGCATGCCGAGGAAGTTGAGGACAGGCATGCTTCGTGTAAAGAGGTATGCTTCGCTTCTGAGGTCACGGGTGAAGAGCATTGTCTGGATCTTTTCTCCAAGGACTGTCCACGTATTTGGAAAAGAGAAGGCAGACAGGCTGGTTGGCTCTTCACAACCTGGTGGAATACTGATGGATAACGATGCAAACATGGTTAAGGCCTTATGGGAATAGGTTTACAATTAGGAATAGTAAACTGATTATCACAGTCCGGTGAGCGTGATGCAGCGAAAAGTGAAGAGTGGATCTGGCATACACTTGACACTCAGAGCCACGACAAGACGAACATATATCCAGACTGCTGTTGGCACCATTTATATTGGAACTCTGCGCTGGCTACTGAGGATGGCGGCTGAGCGCTTATGGAAATGCCCTGTGTGCTGTGATGTCAGTTCTTGAATCAGCTCAGCTCAGTCACATAACGGTTACGAAGTAGCCTGTAGTTCATAGTATCAGGTTCTCAAAGTATGCTCAGAAAGCTGAAGTCAGGTTTTCTTCGTGTGCAATGTATCGCATCAGCTCGGAGGTCGCAGGTAGTGAGAGTTACATGGATATTTGCCTGGCCCTATATAGGCGTGTTGGGGAATGAGTAGGCAGGTAGGCTGGCTGGACTGGGCACTCTTGGGAGTACACTGCAACTAGACAAGGCAGAGGCAGTCTCTAGCCTGTGGTACAAGGTAACAGGTAAAATTGAAATAACTGAACAATTTTACCCGGAGAGAATGATGCACCGGTGAGTGTCTACGGACTCTGAGCGCCACTCGAGACTCGTGGCGAAAAGCAAGAGGAGTCGTTAACCAAATGGCGCCGGTGTGGAGACTCTTCGCTAGCTGTTGATGAGGGGGACGGAGCTAATATTGGCTTTTCCTAAATGCTGTGATGTCAAATCTGTATCCTGATGAACCCATAAGTGGTCCAGTATAGGAGGGTCTATGATTATGGCACATAGTGCTGGACCAATATTTGTATAGGCCAGTGTGCAATAGGTGTTGTTTAGGCACGTCATTAGAAGGGAAGAATTTTGATAACATGAAATTTAGAAGCGACAAAAATCAGAGTGATCTGGATTAAAAGACGTTAAATCATGATCATTGGAAGAAAGAAGGTCAAGGAGGAGGAGGAGGAGGAGAAGGGGAAGAAGAAGAAGAAGAAGAAGAAGAAGAAGAAGAAGAAGAAGAAGAAGAAGAAGAAGAAGAAGAAGAAGAAGAAGAAGAAGAAGAAGAAGAAGAAGAAGAAGGAGGAGGACGAGGAGGAGGAGAAGAAAGCAGAGGATGAAGAGGGTGAGGAGGAAGAAAAGGAGAAAGAGTAGGAGGAAGAAGAAGAGGAAGAAGAAGAAGAAGAAGAAGAAGAAGAAGAAGAAGAAGAAGAAGAAGAAGAAGAAGAAGAAGAAGAAGAAGAAGAAGAAGAAGAAGAAGAAGAAGAAGAAGAAGAAGAAGAAGAAGAAGAAGAAGAAGAAGAAGAAGAAGAAGAAGAAGAAGAGAAAGAAAATGAGAAGAGAAGAAGGAAGAAGAAGAGGAAGAAGAAGAAGAAAAGAAGAAGAAGAAGAAGAAGAAGAAGAAGAAGAAGAAGAAGAAGAAGAAGAAGAAGAAGAAGAAGAAGAAGAAGAAAAAGAAGAAGAAGAAGAAGAATTCGCCATGGCACTTGATTTGGCCAGAATGATATTCTTTGGCTGGTTTGTAAAGGGAATATTTATAATTTATAACCAGAATTAAATTTAAAAAATGTGTGTGTTATAAGTAACTTGCCTTAAATAATGTTCTTATATATGTGTGAAAGTCGTCCCCGTAGGGATGCAATTTTTTTATTTTTTATTTGAAGCCCCACCTGGCAGTTGCCGGGGGTCGTGAATATAACCAGGCCATAAATATGGCCTAACGGCTGAGGAGGAGAGGTCCCTTCTGGGACCTCTCCGCAGGTGATACTCATCCGGTTGGTGGCACTTCGTGTCACCGGGTGTTTATCACTTGTATGATGTCCTGGTTGGGTACAGCTTATTTACCTACCAATAATGTTCTTATAAAATATCGACATCCATTGTGAAAGCCAATACTCTTACCTGCGTATGATTTCTCTATTGTGGACTCAGATCTAAGTGATACCTATGCTGGTAGCAGCAGCAACATAGACACCTATGTTTCTCACAAAGACTCCACCATCAGTGACTTTCACAGTGACAGAGATGAGGCCATTGAAACTGTGGGTAATGACAGACACAAAGAAAGGTGGTCGTTTGCCCACAATAAACATTTCAGGACACAGAATACCTGGTGATTAGACATTATTGTGCTTATTTTTTTTAATTAGTTCCTAGACTGATAACCTTGTTGATGATTGGCAAAATATTTCGTTATTTTGAATTTAAAATATACTTTTTTTTTTCTTATTTTTTTTTTAGACACAGCTTTTTCTAATTAACAGTTTATTTAGTTTTCTTCTTATATTAGACCGAATTACATCTAATCAATATTTAATTTTCTGCTGAACAACAATTTTGTGATTAACAATATACTTACTTTTCTTCTAATATTAGACTTAACTATTGCTAATTAACAAAGTGCTTACTTATCTTCTCATATTAGACAGAATATAACATCAAAGTTGAATGCATTATGAGAAACTTATTCCTAATATTACTAATAAAAGAGCGATTTCTCGTCAACATAAGGTACGCTGCTGAAGTTCAGATTAGAGGGAAGTGCAGCTCTTCGGCTTAGAATAACGGTTCCAAACCTATTTCGAGCCTCGACACAGTTTTATAGAAGCCTTTTAGTTTTAAACATAGGCTTTTTACTGGGGTATATGAAAACACATGGAAAATAGATTTTCCTGCATTCCACAAACAAATGTCTTGACATGACGCAATACCTTGAATTTTGAGTTTACCTTTTTACAATTTTCACAGCTCACCTTGCCCGACGAACCCACGGAAACGTTTCCGCGACCCAACTTAGAGTCACCACCCCTGGGTTTGGATCCAATGGCTGATGTTAACGAAAGGTTTTATTATCCATGAATATTCGCGTCTGATTTCTGCAGTGGACGTTATTTTTTAAAAACCCAGAGTCGTGTTTTCAAGAGAACTCTTCACCACGTTATATGCCAAATAAATACAGTGGGTGCACTGTTGCTAACCTTAATTGTGGACACTGCACAATTTTCATTAAAGGAAGAGTAATTTTGCTCTAAATAAGCGTTATTTCGTGATATAAGGAGATTACAAGATGACACCTGAGTCTCATTTGAAAACATCACTGTTTGGTTTCCGTGGTTCCATTCAAGAGAGCAAAGAAAAGACCTGTTGTCATCTAACAAGCATATCCTATGAGGCCACTAATTAGGGGTTTTCCTTCAAATTTTAGTGCATCTGCTTGAGAGGCGAGTAACCAATAACCTGCACACAAAGAAGCCGGGACTGTAAAAAGGTTGTCCACGCAAAACCCAAGTTTGGAATTTAGACCAAACTCAAGGAGTGGACAAACAGCTTGAATTTCACGCCAGTTTTCAGCTGGTGAAGGCTAAAATGGAGAATACTAGAGTAAAGCAACATGAAGAAATTGAAAACGTAAGCAAAAAAAGAGAGATACATAAACAAAGAGTCTGAGGAAACTGCATGTTGAAAATTAAAACCTCATGGCCGTTCCTATCTTCTAGGGGTGTCACGTAATGGTTGTTCTGAAGGTTTTAAGCACATCCGCCACTGACAACAGCCACAGTCAACCAGTGTAAAAATGCAAAAACATCAATGATTCGATACTCATTAACCGTCGCGCCTCCGGCCCTTTCCTTGCAGTATTTCTTCCGTGTACAGAGACGCCTGCGGCGCCTAACTTTCTAACAACAACAACACATTCAAGAAACAACACTCGTTCACATAAAAAAC